TTAATAAAACTCTTTTCATTTGCACTTTGTTTATGAGAAAATATGATGATTTTGCTGTTGCAGAATGCTCTATGTTTTATGTCTTTGATTTGATAGATTGATTAGTTGGGACAAATATAGTTTCAAACAAAAATCTTGAAAAAAAATGTAAAATTTTTATTCATGATGATTAATTGCATCTAAATACACAACTGGAAGTAGATGAAAGGTTTATGTACATTTTCATTACGACCGAATACTTGCGGAGACGAATATATACATTTCACTAAATGGAGAACTCTAGTTCCTTCAACAATTAAAAAAGATATGTTAATTAAAAAATATATTTTTTAGTAATTCCAAAGAAAATATTTCCTCAACTATCACAAAAGAGAATTTTAATCACCATCAAACATGTGAATTTATGGATTAGAAACATGCTTGTAAAATTTGATATGGTTCTGTTTTAGCTAGGGCATTAATTGTGGAGATTTAGGTTATTATAAGTAACTTAAGGGTCTCTTTGATAGTTTGGAAAGTTGAGGAAAGTAAAGTTAACATTCATAAGATTTTAATTATGAGAGAAACTAATATTCTACTTTATTTTTTGATTCATGAGAATATGATTCTAAAGAATGTGAATACTTTCTTATGTTTGGTTATATGTTGGAAAATATACAAAAATGTGAGAAAATTATTTTTTTAGTCGGCTAATCTTCGGAATTATTCTTTATGAAATTCAATTCAAAATCTCGAAGAGATCCGCTCAAAGTCTAACTACACGAACAAGAACTTATTCATGTCACTCATCTACTAGCACATTGACTCTATATATGAGTGTACGCATTTGCAAATTTAAATTTTTAATCGAACAAAGATCAAGTAATTTTAAGTTCGTGAATAAAGTTCTACAATTTTGCTTAATATGATCGACCTAAATTTTAAGTGTTAGATTTATTTGCCATCACTATGTTAATATCACAAATTATTTAATATTATAACTTTGTATTTTTTAATCTATTCATTATGTAAAATTTTATATGAAATATTATTAATTTATTTTTTGCTCCTTTAAAAATTCATTTTGATAAAGTGTCGAGTTTTTATGTGATCAAATCAATTTTTTTGTTAATTAATAATGTAAAAAGATCATTAATCAAATTATAAAATAATTGTAAAAACTTATATATTAGAATCAATTAAATTAAGATAAAAATTAATAAAATATGAATGATGTAAACATGTTAAGAGAAAAAAATGATGGCCAAAAAGGAGTTATGGAGGAAAAAAAAGTGAACAAATGTTAAAATCATACCACCTCCAAGGTGAGGACTCAAAATCCAGGAATATTATGTTTATTATTTAGGATTTCAGGATTCTCTTTTCATTCCTATAATTAAACAAACAAAGGAATTTAAAAAAGAATTTAGAAACTTATTAATTTCCTAAACAAAACAAATACTGAAATTTAAAAACAAGGAATCAAATCAGTTTCCAACCCAGAATCCCTAACAAGTAACAACCAAACATGTTCTAAGGATAATTATCAATATTATTAAGGCCGAAGTCATTATCAAATAAATGGGTAAATTAGAATATAAATTTTTCCGTAATTTCATATTTACATTTTACTATCAAATGAATGGCCAAGTAAAATTAATCATGTGACCGGTTTTTCTAATTTGTTGGCATTTGGCAGATTTAGACTGGTTTTTGTGTGTGTGTGTGTGTGTGTGTGTCCAGTATATCTGTAAATCTTAGAAATATTTGTATTTGAAAAAAAATATTTTGTATTTGGCCCGATATATTTTAGAATGTTTGAAGAATTTAGAAATGTTTTATAAGTGTGATCATAGAAATGTTTGTATTTGGCAAAAAAAAAAAAATTATATTTGACCCGGTACGTTTTAGAAATGTTTGAAGATTTTAGAAATGGTTTATAAGTGTTACTTATTAAATATAAATAAACTTGAACAAGTATATGTGTTGAAGTAATTATTAGACAAAATATAAAAGCATCCTAATAACTTTAAATATTAGTAAGATGATTTATTGATGTTCTCCGTTTGTCGTGCCAAATCAATACTTAATATTGGAGATTTATAATAGTTCTGTAGTAAACTTCTTCCGAAGCGTATACGTTTAATTGTTGGAACTGTTTCTTTCAAAGGTTTATAGGTAGTAAAATATCAAAAATATGATTTTGAAACTCGTTAATTATTAAAACTAATTGATCACAAATATGAGAATGAAAATTAATGTAAATTTGCATAGGTTTCAAGTTATAGCAAAAAAGAACTCACCTCACCATGGCAAATAAAAAAAAAAAGTAAGTAAAAGAGCCCATTAAAAATTGAGAAATTATTTTTTTTCTGTAGGTAAAAATGATGTATAAAAACACAAATAAACGTAGAAACATCATTCCTTCCCTCTCCACCTCAAATTTATAAAAGACTTCCCCATAAATTAGTTAGAAGAAGCGACCTGAACTATTTATATGATGAGGAATTCAAAAAAGTCTAAAAACCAAATCCAAAAAAGTATATTTTTGAAAGCCCGAAAAAAAAAACGCGCTTCATTTGCACAAAAAAAAAAATAGTAATAATAATAATTGGTCAACTGGAAGTATGAAACAAAATCAAAAGCAATTAAATAAAGAAAAAATACAGTTCATAACTGACCATATACGAAAAAAACATGAGACTCTATAATTAAAAAAAAAAAGCACTCTAGTTGAATGAAACATAAAAAAGAAATTAAAAAACCACGCTTTGTAACAAAAACCCAATTGATCAATTCAATCTAAACATAAATAAAATCATACAAAAATTCTAGGCTAACTAATCATATAAGAAATCACATCATATTACCTGGCAACGGCTACGGTAAATGTAATGGGTGGACGCATAAAAATAATAGTAATAACACTATTCTTGAACGGAAAAAATAAAAAATAAAAAAAGTCGTACAAATGATCTGTGGATATAAAATTATTTAAATTTAAGTATCTGTAATGGCACCACCACAGCGGCCGAAGCAAGATCAATGAGAAATTTTTTTTTTTCCTTTGTGTTTATATAGAGAGGTAAAGAGAATATTTTTTGAAGTCGAAATTTTATCCGATTAGGATGTAGTTGATCATCACTAATGAAAAGATTGAACATGCTAATAGGAAAGAAATATATTTTACCATATGTTCTCAATTGATGGTTGATGAGGAATTTATTTTTTTTTCTTTTTTATTATGGAGAAGGGATTAATTAAGGAGTCGATTGTCGTGGAGATGGAGATGATGATTTGAGTTTTTTATGAAGCCGTAATTTTTATTTTTTTTTGACCAAAGTAGGAGGTAGAGGTGGATTTGGACTGCATTTGCCTTTTAAGTCTAGGAGATGTGTAAATAAACATATGATGTGGAAATGTCACATGGTAAATGGTGGTACTTATTTGTATGAATATATAAATATATGGTGTTTCACATTTTGAAAATACCATAATCATTAATCTGTTCTATCTAGAACCAAAACTCTTTTTGCAATAACGGCAGCGTAGGACAGTGATGCTTGCTGATTGATTATGAAATAATTTGAATGTAAGTCGAGGCCACATACAAGTGTCGATCGGTCTACTTAGGAATCAACAGCAAGAACACTCTTCGTATATCATGTAAGGAAAGAAAGGCAAAATTCCATAGATACAAGTAATGGCAGCAAAAAAAATCGTAGTTATGAAAATGTTTTGATCTTCTATATTCTTCCAAGTACGGATTCACTCCCTGTTAAAATATTAGTCATATCGCTACATATGGAAGGAGTGACAAAATACCTTCCAATAGAATTTAGGTTCACCGAATATTTCCGCATTACTCTTTGCTGTGATAGCCATTTCTTATCGTCAAAATAAAATTCGACAAGAGTGTTTAATGTTTGTTTATTACTCTCTCCGACCCACAAAAATAGTTCACATTGAGTTTTGAGTTTTGTACTGTTTTTAGTACAAATTTGAAAATTCAGTGTGGACTTTTTTTTTTTGGAAGGTGGTAGTACTAGTTTTTAATTCTAAAATGTTGTACCTAAGAATCTACTGGAATAATAATGACTTCTCTTTTCTTCTCTTATGTTTCCTAACTAATTAGTTACTTGCTCTACCTCAAATTAACTGTCTGTTCATTAATAATAAACGAGTAATTATTTTGGGACAAGTGAGTCTGAGTTACTTGTAGTTTACAAAATATCGGAATTTTTGGTTCTCTAAAAAAATCAAGAAAATGTCTTCGAGCAAAAATTACTTCATCTTCATTCCCACATCGGAAACTCATCCCGTTCTAACCTGCTTTATTAATCAGACGGTCTGGAATTAATATTGCCGGGCTCAGTAACGTGGGCTTGTAACTCAAGTGAGGGCAATAAATTGGTGGCGGATGTTTGGGCCTTCCTTGTTCGGCTTCCGGCTCTCCCCTTCGCCGACTGTGCACCTGTTATGGTTAATGGGGCCTGACAGGCTCACAGCCAAGTTAGGGAAGTGTGGTTACCGTGGAGACTTGAAAGAGCAAAGCCCAAAACCGACTATCATTTTTGTTTGTTTGTTTGTTTCTTTATTCTTTTCCTTTTGTTGTTTTTCCCTCTTTAAACAGAAAAAATAATATGAATAAAATGTAATACCTTTGTCTAATTTGAGATTTCAAGTTTAATATGATTTTGACTAAAATTAAAATTTAAAACTGAACATTTATTTTGTGACAAAGAGAATATATTATTACTTAAATAACTTCACGCAAAGATAGGTAAAAACCTCATAAAACTTAAGAAAATACTAAAATAATTAATCATTAGACATTCATACTTTTGTCATTTTGTGGGCGATCTGGCTCAAGGACCATAGAGTGTGCAATGGTTACAAACTCTACCCAATGTTTTGTTATAGTTAGAACCCGATTTAATTGAGATAACATAATCTTGTAGTCTATTAGTTTGATATTAAGTGTTGTCGTTTCTTTTATTGTAACCAAAAAAATAAAAAATCCAGAACTTAGTTTGATATTAAGTGTTGTCACCTCTTCTATTGTAACAAAAAAAAAAATAAAACTCCAAAACTACTTGGAATCAGATTGAGAAACACAACCTTACAATATTATGTCATTTTGAAACCTTTCTTCAAACTCAAAACATCATCATCAATTCATTACCGCTAAAAGTATAACAGAAAGTAAAATTCAAAGGGCAGTTTTGCACCCCGGTACAATCATAATCAGAAGGAAATTCTTGAAGGAAGAACACAAAATCACAATCCAAGTACTAATCCATGGATGGATAAAAATTATTTAGTTAATGACCCTGCAATTCTTTCTAATCTCTCCAGCAGTACCAGTAAGAGGGCTAATGTTACCCATCTTGATCATGGCAGCAACAAAGTCACTCCTGAAAGTAGCTTCATTGTTACTGTAACTCCTCACCAAAGCATCTTGGGAACCACCATTGAAGAGCTCTTGATCAGAATGAAGAAGACCCTTCTTAGCCAAAAGGTTCTTGAAGTAGTTGTTGTCAAATCCAGTTGGTGTTACCAAATCCAAAGGCGCCAAATTGTTGTCACCGCCTGATAAGGGGCAGTTGGCCTGCCTGGTGGTTGCGAAACCCGGGTCGATGTCGGTGTCATTGTAGATGTGTGATCTGAACGTGGTGCATCTTGCCTGTCCAATTGTGTGTCCGCCGGAAAGGGCAGTCATGTCCTTTGCACTCAGTCCTTTCGCCGAAAACATGGAGATTAGGGTTGATAGTGAAGAAGCCGGGCTCGGGATTTGACTGTTTGCTGCGCTTAGGCTTGCTGTTCTTGCATCCCTCCTTCCTAAGGGCACCTGCCATGTTGGTCCTCCAAGCTACATGCACCATGAAAAAATTTGCCTTTTTAGGATGCAATTCTCGTTAAATAGTCTATACACTACAAATATATAAACATTACTATACAGTATCATAAATGAGACACGACTGATATATAAAAAAAGTGGGCCGTAGTTGATTTGATAATTTAATTTGATTTGTAAGTATAAAGAATAAAATGAACACTTTTTCTGGTCCTAATTATAAGGTAAAAATTTTGAACTAAAGTAGAACGGACTGATATATTCTCTTACCAAGACGACGCCATCTCTGGCTGCTAGAGCTAGGATATCAGCACAAGAAACAGTGGCATTGCAAGAGGCTTCAACATTAGATTTGATGGTGTCAATCACATCGAACCCTCTTGCGGAATTCTTATTCGGAGCTGCATTCTTTTCGCTTTGAATACTTGATGAATCGTCCAGCAACAGGCTTCCATCACATCCCTTTATAAAAAAAATCAAAATCAAAACCAAATACTCATATAGTATGCTTGATATATAACAATAATATATACGTGATATTGTGATGGATGAATAATTTACTTACATTAACGAAACAATCGTGAAAGAACAAACGCAGGATCGAGGCCGCAATCCTTTTCTCGTTGTTAACAGCCGTGGTCATTGAACTGCGGACAATGGATTCAAGTTTAGGGCAGGTCGAACTATAAAAGTTGTTCGAGAGTTGTGCATTTGCACAACAAACAAGTAGTGAAGCTACCAAAAATGAGGCAACATAAACTCTAAGGTTAGCCATAATGGCAAAGAACAAAATGTTATGATTTTGATGCTTTATTTTGCTTAGATATTTTTGTTGTTGGAGGTGGTGGTTCAGCATTGCATCAAGTAACGAACTATTTATAGAGAGGGGGGAAAAAAAAGAGTGGATTATGAAGTTGCATGGGAAGAGATGTAAGATAGCGACTCAATTGTTACAGTAAAATGGCGTCGGTCAACAGTAATTCTTATTTAATGTTTTTAACGAATTATTATGTAATGGACAAAAGGGAATAAGTTCTGTTTACATTATCAATTCAAACTTTTCTACTACCAAAACGCGTCATTTTTTAATGGTGTTATTATTTTTCTTGCTACTTTTGCTTTTTGGGAGAACAAATCAGAACAAAAAGAACCATCCAAAAAAGTGGATTAAAATTGATATATTTTGAAATTTTGACACCCCGTTCTTTTTTTTTTTTACATATCATGGGGAGTTGACTTGAGATAGATATCTTTTTCTAGGATGATCCATGCATGAAAGATTAAAATGAGTGGGCCACATGTACAATAAAGAAGAGAAGAAATTTTTATCTTCAATTTACAAGAAAAGTTGGTGGGTTACAAAATCTATAACAATGTGAATTTTATAATTAATTATTTAGCATTTTTAATAATTATCCGACGGAAGGTTATTGGAGGTTATATGTAGCATCAGTAAGAGTTGAACTCTAATTTCAACAAAGGTGTAAATGGGATATCATATGGAAACAATTGTTTGATTCTCTACCCTTTTGATTGTACTCAAAAAAGAAAAGTATTATCATCAGCAAGCCTTATTTGGAAGATTGTGGAGTACGTTGCATGAGCCTAAAGATTAAGTCCACTCCACTATGTCTTCATCCACAAGATATAAGGCCACCTAACACGCAACAGTGTTAATGGAGCTTTCAGTTTTTCACTATCAAAGTGAGCTGGATAACTATGTGCATTCTACTCAGTAATCAACCAAGGGGGAAAAAGTTTCCAAATCAGTAACTAGTTGAAATTATGCAAGCCAACGATCCTAACTACATCTAGTCTGGTTAATTATCGGATTAGATTCGTTTGTCTTAATCAATCACTGCTGGACGAATTTTAATTAACACGATTTAATGAGAACGTATTGGTTGAATTCTTTTGAAAAGGGAGATGGAGATTTAACCTAACCTTGAGGAAAAACATGCTCACTAGTAAAATGACTCGAGAGAACCAGGGGCTGGATGCGTAATTGGATGATTAGATTATCATTCTTAGTCCTAGTCGCAGGACATGATTAGACAACCATTCCTACCATGTGTCTGCGTTAAGGAAAAATGGACGCATTTGTTTTGGTTTGGTTTGGAATTTTATGAATGTCTATTAGATTTGGCTATAACTTTGGAATTTTTCAACTCATTTTTAGTGCGACAATTGCTTAAAATTGTTGAAATTTCTTGTAATAAAGGTCAAAGTAATTTATACTATACATTGATCAAGTTAACCAGTTGAAGAGGTAAACAACCTTAAGTCTTTATTAAGGTTAAAAAACATGACCTTACTTATTAGTTTAAAAATTAGGGTTCCAATTGTACTACACTAGAGACATTAGACCACAGATAGGAAAAATTGTACAATTTGAAAGGGTCATCTTACTTGTTTTGGACCCTATACTTCGGTACCAACACCTAATTCACGGGATAATAACGATGCTATATACATAGTTGTGATCTTCACTCCTTGAGTAACCATTTATTTCTTTTTAATTTTTAGTATAATACTACCTCCATTCCAAAAAAAAATAATTTACATTTAAGATTTCAAATTTGTACTAAAAATAGTATAAAACTCAAAACTCAATGTGAACTATTTTTTTGGGACGGAGGTAGTAATATACTCCCTCTGTTATAGAAAAATAGTCTACTTTGAGTTTTGGGATTTGTACTTAAAAAAATACAAAACCTAATATGAATTATTTTTTTGATACAGTGTAGAGTGTTAATACATTACATGTATATAACAAGAGGTTTGGAAGGAAGATGATTTTTTTTTAGGGGGCATGTAATATTAGGCTACGAACATCGGATGATATCACTCAGTTTGAATGGAATTATAATCATTATCTCACCCTCAGATGTTTAACGCTGTGAAAAGTAAAAAAGCCTTACAATTGAATATGACTTAATCTATAGCTCGCAACTTACAAAGTTTGGCAAGATGAGATCAACAACTTGTGGGATTAGTTGATTCAAACTTTCAAAGAGTCGGCTTTCAGTCAACTGAATACATACATACATACATATATAACTTTGGTGTTAATTGGGAGAGGTGATTTATGAGGAGGAGAGAAAAGATTTATTGATCACTTTGGGATTAAGATTCAAAGAGCTCAACAACCACCGTCAACATCTTGGAAAATTATGGCTCAGCAGCAGGTAAATGTCGTAATACATATCATATAGTGTGGCTCTCTCTGATCTTCTTCTGTTTTGATGTGAGCTTCATTTTTCCTCTTTCGGCCATACACAATACAGTCAAAGGGATGCCTTTTTCTTTTTTTTTTTAATGCACGCGGGAAAGTTCTAACTTCTAGAATCATTTAATGCTCGCATACTTATGGTAACACAATCCACGATCCACAAATAGTTGTCCGAACGATTCAAACTTATTATCCGTTTTTTTAAGTAACTAAAAGGTTCTTGTTATCCTTTTACTTCTATGACTTTTGTAAGTTGGTAACAAGATGAACAAGAGAAATGATGGCAGCGACACCGATAACTTGCACGTTTTAGATAGTTGTTAGTGCAATACAAACTTGATAATTATGTTTATACGGTAGGTAGGTAATTGAGGATTCGAAGTACGGAGTACTTAACAAAATGAACAAGAGATACTGTCGCGGGTTGGGCATCGAAACCCAAAGCGTGTACATAGATGCTTTCAAAATCTTAATGTAACTTAGGCAGATTGTCTTGTACAAAGAATCTTGTACTAATCAAAAGATGGAAAATAAGGGTATCAGGAGCGTACTAGCTATATATAATGCTTTTGTTCTGCAGGTTATGTGATTTGTAAAGAATATTCACTCTGTGCTCAGTAAACCTTGGCTGCCCATCTTGCCCAACACCAAAGAACGAAAGAAAGCACATTGAAGAATCACCTATACTTAGTCTTCCTTTTCCTTTCTTTTTTTCTTTAGGGTTATAGATGATTGACTAATTCATTAGTAGGATTTTATTACTAGCTAAGTTTACATTTGCGGTGGTTATTATTATTATTTTTTTTTGGGTTCCTAATGTGGAATTATCATCACAGAAGACACTTTTGTACACTCAATTTAACATCATTTCAGAGTAGCGGCTGCGTTTCGATCTTCTAACAATGCATATTGATGATTCAATAATGATACTCAACAAATTTTACGGTGACTTCAAATAATTATGTATGTCTGTCTACTCATCAATGTCAGATCATTCTTTAAGTATTTTCATCGAAGGAAAAAATGTCGTTCCTACCCAAAACTTTGTCCTCGTTGTCAATCATATCCAATAGATTTTTGGTTAGCCAACTTTACCCTAATGTTTGACATTTTCGTCAATTTCATCCAATCGGCCCATTTTCCGTCCAAATTAACGGATCTCCATTAGTTTTTTAATAAAATAATAAATTTAAATACAAAAACACCCTAATAGTTTGTAAAAATTTTAAAAATAACCCCTAAAATATATAAAAATAACAAAAATAGTTCCTTTTCACTTTTTTATTTCATTTTTCTCTATTTTTTCTCTCAACTACTTTTAATGACCATAAAAGTACTCCCTCCGTCCCATAATTATTGTCCACTTTGTCCAAAAAATTTTGTCCCAAAATTATTGTCCAATTTGACTTTTTATGGATCAAGTTACACATTTGTCCTTAGTAAAAAAATATCATCCATAAAATCTTAATGGTTAAACAATTACTTATATAGGGGTAATCCGCTTGTTTAAGGTAAAATATAGTTAAGTTTGACCAAAAATAAAATCTTTCATTTTAGTAAAACTGGACAATAATTATGGGACGGAGGGAGTATATTATATGAGTTTGAAAAAAATATTTATTTATTTTCAAACTCCACCGTAAAAGTTAATCTTTGTGTAGTTGTAACACATGATTGTATTTATATAAGCATGTTAATCTTTTCAATATTATAGTTTAGCAATAAAGATACTGTTTTTCTGATTTATTTTATTCTTTCTAACATAAAGATTAAAAACAGTTAAATGAAACTAATATTCCACATAAAAATAAAATATTAGCTCAAATAAAAAATAATATATTAGGATAATTTAGTGTATTACAATTTAACTAGAGAGACTACATGGCATAATATAATTTATAAAAAATATGTTTATACTTATCAATGCAAGGATTTAACATTCTGTAATAATTATTTGAGATGTTAATATATCTAACTATAGAGGAAGTCTTACTAGCTTATTCTATATGATTTTAGTTTTAAATAAATGAATGGAGGTAACAATATGGTAATAAGTTGTTGTGATAGAAAATAAATTAGATTCACGAAGGAAAACTTATGTTTGGAGGATTTTTTTAAGGTTCTAATTATTTTATATTTTAATTATTTTTTTATGAATTATATTAATGCAAGTTATAGTCTCTTGAGTTAAATTGTAACACACTAAAATATATTAATATTTTTTTTATTTGAGCTAATATGTTAATTTTATATGAAATATTAGTTTCATTTAAATATTTTTAATATTTATGTTAGGAAGAATAAAATAAATAAAAAAAATAGTATCTTTATTGCTAAACTATATTATTAAAAAAATTAAGGTGCTTATATAAATACAATCATGGGTTACAACAATACAAGATTAATTTTTACGGTAGAATTTAAAAATAAATAAATATTTTTTTAAAACTCATATAATAGACTTTTATGGTCATTAAAAGTGGTTGAGAGAAATGAAACAAAATAGAGAAAAATAAAATAAAAAAGTGAAAAGAGATTGTTTTGTTATTTTTATATATTTTAAGGGTTATTTTTAAAATTTTTAAAAATTACTGAGGTATTTTTGTAATTAAATTTATTATTTTATTAAAAAACTAACGAAGATCCGTTAATTTGGACAGAAAATGGGCTGATAGGACGAAATTGGTGAAATTTCAAACATTAGAGTAAAGTTGGCTAACCGAAAATCTATTGGGTATAATTAATGACGAAGGCAAAATTTTGGATAGGAACGACATTTTTTTCCTTTCATCAAACTTATCGTTCGATTAATCTTGGAGATAAGCCAATTACATCAAATAATGCACGAAAAGTATCAAAAAGTGGACTTACACAAAAGAACTGAAAGCAACAAAAACTGTTAACCTGATGCAAGACTTTTGGGGAAGAAAAATCCCTGAAGTCTTCTGCACTAGCAAGCGCATGGCCAATAGTGTCAATACCAGTCATTATCAACTCATCATTTTTGTCAAAAACAGAAGCTGCAATACCTTTTGTGGATTTTAAGCTAGGGACTACCGGGATAAATATATCTAACAATCTGTGACTCCTCGAAGTCACACACCGCCTAATCAGGATTTTTTAAGCATTGGCGTACTACATCAATCAGAAATATAGTACAGGATGCCTACTGTGCCAGACTAGCCGCCAGCGGAGATGTACTCTAGTTGTGCGGTCTTATCAGATTGAAAATGGTTGGCATTAACAAGATCATACTAAAGCCTTGGGAGACTGTGTAGCATGGGAGCTAGAGCAGTTCCCTGCCCTTGAAGCCGGTCTTTGGTGTTTCACCAGTGGAACTAGCGATTGCACGACATCAGTCATCAGTGGTCTGTAATCGGCCTCATTCTGTACACACATAGCTGCAATCGCTGCAATTTGAACCACGTCCTTTGTTGAGTACTGACCATCCAGAGTAGGATCCATGATCTCCAGAACCTTTTCTCGATCTGTAAGGCGTGGAAGAGCCTATGAAGCAAATCCATAAATGACAGGAAAAGAACTCTTAAGAGCAAGAACTAAAATGGCAAAAACATATACTCAGATACAAAAGGAGTAAATTCCTGACTAAAATCACCAGAACATTTATGCTAATTATGGAACCTACCCAGGATACAAGCACACCTTCCCCTGGAGGCCTTTTCATGTCAACTGGTACTCTGCCTGTTAGCAATTCTAGGAGAACAATGCCATAACTGTAGACATCTGATTTGGTAGTCAGATGCCCAGTTAGTGCGTATCTACAGAGAATAGAGTAAAGGGTAATGATCAATGTTGATTACTAGCTGGGGAAAAATAAAATCCAGAAATTTCAGTGGGAAACCCAATATGGTTTAAAAATTTTAAATATGAGTCAGTTCCTTACTCTGGGGCTACGTATCCTTGGGTCCCCAACACACGGGTAGAAACATGCCCTCCAACTTTATCAGATCCAAGCTTGGCTAACCCAAAGTCAGAAATTTTGGCGTGGAAACTTTTATCCAAAAGGATGTTACTACTTTTAAAATCTCTATGGATCACAGGAGGGTTAACATGTTCATGTAGATACTCTAAACCTTTTGCAGCCTCCAAAGCTATCCTCAGCCGAGTCTCCCAATCTAAGCTGGAAGAAACACTTCTAGAACCTACAGATTCAAAGTGAAATCAGTTCATAAAATTCTGAATTGTTACCAATGAAAAGTTAAAGACCGGGATCGTATTTATTTACACTCAGCATCAACTTTTTTCTGCAACATGTGAACTATGCAAACCTTCATCATTTTCAATTTGCTTTTGTTCTTGAGATTTCTTACAATTTTGATTTCAATACCATGCTCAATTAAACTTCCATAGTGGTGGAATCAACTTATTTATGCAGGTGAAGTATAAGCACCTTCATCATATTCTAATTTGCTTAGGTTGTCTAGATTTTTATCGATTCTGATTTTAACATTATGCTTAATTAAAACATAGTAGTGTCAGAATAAAATCTTCTACAGACTAGTCCCCCAATTCGAAATACTTTTCCTCTAATTCAATTGCATTTTTTTCCTAGAAGGTTATAAATGGGAATGGATTTGATGGTGCAAGTGGATGATAGGAGAGAATGACAAGCAAAGGGAAATATATCCACAGCTGGGGTTTCACTAGATTAAGACCTTCATAAATACAGCTACACAAGGCTGAAAATTTCACCCAACTACTCCATGTCAGTAGTATGAAACTACAGATGGTCAACGGAACAACAATACAAACCTAACGCCCGGGCTACTCACCATCAACAGGATGCAAATGCTCCTGCAGACCACCATTTACCATGAACTCATAGATGAGAACTTTATGATTGCTTTCTGAGCAGTAGCCAATCAGGAGTAGCAAATATGGTGAACGCAGTCGACTTAATAATTCCACCTAGTATCCAAAATCGATAAGAATCACCAAGGGAAAAATGCAATGACAAAGTAAATTTGCAAATAATTTCATGTAACATATAAATCCCACCTCTACTTTGAATTCTTCTTCTCCTTGCTTTCCAGCTTGGTCCATTAACTTAATGGCAACCTTCCTTCCATCTGGAAACACTCCTCGATATACTGACCCGAAAGCACCGTGCCCGATTATATTTGACTTTGTGAAACCACTAGCGGCAGATTGTAGCTGCTTGAAGGTGAAAACCTGAAGCCCTTTCTCAGCAGTAACTTGAAGACTTGGAAAACTGCTAGCTCTTTCTTCATATTCAATCCCTTTAGTTCAACAACACAAAATGAAGTGTATTCAACTACATATGGCATATAATCATCGAGAAGTACCAGCAAATTTTGAAGTCCAAGCAACTTTAATTAACCACAGAAAAACCAGTAAATTGAACTCCGGTATTAACAACTAATGATGATGGGTTATACTACAGGGTCACAGAAAGTGACATTGCCATGATCAACTACCTAAATATCCAGATAGAACTCCAGAAGATTAGCCTACACTACTAATTCCCTCCAAAGTGTTGCAAGAAAACTGAAAGAAGAAAAAGATTGTAAGCTTAATCAAACTAAAAAACCCATAGAAAAAAAATGCACAATGTACTCTCTTTTTCTTAATATCACACAGGAATCAACCAGAAACAGGAACCCACAAGCTACATTTCTCAAATATTAGTCTAATTTCACTAGAAAGGCCGAAAAGCAAAGGGCAAGTTTTTTTTTGAAAAAAGATACATACTTTTGTTAGTAGTTTTCAAGCGCTTGGAGACTTTGTTCCGGATGTAACAATAGTAGCTCAAGGCCACAAACACAGAAGCAACGGCAAGGGAAGCAAAGACTACAACTGTCACCAACACCGCTCGGTCTTTTCTGGTGTAGTCATCATCTTTTGCTTCCATTGATGACAGGAAAAATGTCTTACAGGAAACAGCTTCAATTAACCCCCAAAGAGGTGGGTGAGGAACAAGAAGGTAAAGGGTTTTTTTTTTTACTGGATTACAGGTTTGAAGTTTGAACATTGAAGTGACAAAAAGGGGGGTCAAAAAGACAGTCAATTCTGTGTCTTCTGTTCCATTTTTTGTCTTCTTCGGTGGTGAGTCGTGTCATGTCTTGGAGAATAACTATTGTCGTCAGCTCCTCGTGGTATCATAGTTTAAAGTTTTAAACTTTAAAATTGGAAATGCGGCTCTTCACTCTGTAGCTTTTAGGCTATTTTCATCACATTCTTCAAAATTTCAACCTATTTTCCTACAATTTCATAAATGTTTTCAATAATTTTGCATCAATACATCATTGATGAGCCAATGCATTTTGAGTGATACTACTTAAATAGTCTCTCTCGATCGAAATATTGGATATATTATTTTTACTTGTCACAACAGGGGAGTCCAATGAGATCGCGTGTAATGAGTATATTGTCATGGCTACATGCCACTATACTTCACATTGGAATCTGAAGTGGAAATAAAGACTAAAATATACCAAAATGGAAAAACGATTGTGAATAACAAGCTTCAAGTTGAATAGAGTTTTCTTTTTAGTCCGAACTCTGAAAGATGGTTGAAGTGAAGGAAAAAATTCCCAGAAAGTGAGAAAGATTGGTATTATTGTCTTCAACATGAAAGGTGGATTGGAGGTGGTATAGTAGTTCGGATACATTGCCTTCCCATCTGAATCTTAAGGGCATCTCAGCAAATTCAATAGTAGTCCAGGAACGAATAATCCTACCACTTTTATACAAGGATTCTCATGCAAAATTGTCATTCATTGGCAATTACTTTCAGAGAAATACAATTGACTCTGCATTTGCATTTGATGGTCAAAAAACGATCTGGAAAAGAATGTTCTTCCATTGATGTTTCATTTTGACAACTTTGCCAGCATGCCTCGTTGGCCTTTGTGCTTCGAGACTCCATCGAGTGCGATAATTGGGGTTAAACTACCGAATCAGTTTCAAGCTATGGAGACTACGCAAGCATTCGCAACTTGTTGTATCTATCGACTGCCATTGAAACTGATTGTATGGTTACAGGCACCGATGGACCCATCTGTAATATCAGATACCCAAACAATTAGTTCACTTCCTTAATTATCTGGTTTTCAAAAACACTGCACAGAAACAAATTAATCATCACCATAAAATGAAAAATGTCGATAACATAGATTCTTGGGCTTACCGTGCTACAGATATGGAATGTGCTAATATAACCAGCATATTTTGAAGCTGCATTGTACGAAAAAGCATGCAGTCAATGGCGCATTAAATGATTTTTTCATACCAAGTGGTTAAACAAAAACACATGCCCACATGATAATCTATCTTATCAGACAACCTTCTTGAACAACCTCTTCAATACCAAAAGAAGTTCCTCCTTAACCCTGAGTGGAATTCACGATAGTTTGAAGGATACTCTAGTTATCAGAAAAAGAAAAACAACACTAACTAAATTGAGCCCAGCATGGTAGCATTAGACTGAGAGACATTTGTGGGTGGAAAGATAAGGGTATGTTTGTTTTGTTTTTTTAGTGTATGTTTTTAGGTGTTTTTTGTATTGGAAATGTAAAAAAGTGTATTGGAAATGTAAAAAGATATGCTGGGATGAGACAATTATTATTTAAATATTTTGAAAATACCATCAAAACAACCTAACAATACGACACATTTTTTTGGAAGGATCGAGTGTACTTACTCTTCTTCAACCCAGCTGGTTTAGCATGCAATAGCGCATTGGCAAAGGCACCTATATTTTCCCGTATTGCATCCTCCGAATAAGTCACCTATAAAGAATATTTTTCCAATTACAAAAGAATACATCAGACATTCTTCTCCCATTCTAAAACACTGTTCAACCAACCCCCCAAAACCCAAAAACAAATATGAAAAAGATAACCAAACCTTTCCAAGCGGAACATGCACAATTGCAGATTTATCTTTTTGGAAGATAATATGTTTAGTTATTGCATCTCTAACTGCCTTAGACATATCATCTGTCAAAGTTCCATGCTGCATGAATTAATTGTAACTCGTTATCAACAAATGTATAAAAAATCTGGAAAGCACAAAACAAAAGCAGACGAAACTAACTTCAGGATTTGGCATCATCCCACGCTTAAGAAATTTTCCAATCTGCAACATGAAATCAAAAGTTAAACAAATGCAAAAACTTCTATAAACTGGAAAATCTTTGAGACAAGTAAACCAGCAATACCTTCTTCACATGAACCATCATATCATGGGTTGCAAAACATTTGTCAAACTTAAATTTCACCTCCCCTGCATAGATTAAAGTGGAGTCACATTAAGACGGAAAGAGGGGAATAGAAAGAGATTCGTAAAAGGTAACTAAAACATATTCTGCTGCAGTAAAAGGGATGTATTGGTTTGTAAAATATTTTAAAATTTAATTTTTTATTTTTCCCAGTGAACAGGCAATGAAAGGCAACCTGATTCAAGATGCTGCTTGTTGGAATGAATGCAAAAAATAAAAGCTCCATTAGTGATAAGTAATCAAAGCATATGCAGTATTAAGAAAAACAAAATCCTAGACTGGGTAAGTTGTGGTAAAACCAAAAAGTATACTACTCTCGAGAGCAGGAACCTTCTACCCAACGCGTCATCAGAAATCAAAGAAATTACATTATTCTACAAAGCAGGATGAACCTTATGTCAAACTATGAGATCTAACCTCATTATATTGGCAATTGACCAAAAGAGCGCTTGTTCTTGGGCCATCATAGAAACATAAATAGGATCAACAACAGAATGAACAACCTAGATACCTTCACCTAGCTTGTACCTACTGTCTACATCAGTACTTTACAGAAGTAAAGTTTAGGCAAAGATGCCACCCAAACTTAGAACTTTAACCATGTATTGCTTTATCTTTGCGTCCCCCACTCTAAATCACTCACAAAATTGCCTTGGCATGTGTTCCTAGTCCAGGTAAATTGGCATTTACCATGTGAGAGATCTGAGGTTGAGAGATTGGTAGTTGATTCAGCATCTAAACAACGGCTCAACCTCACTTTTAATGAAATGGTAACACACCACAGGATCTTCAATAACTCAATGTTCATAATTTAAAGAAATTAGTGACTTTTTGACAAGCACATGAAGCTTTTCAAGCTAGGACTCATGTTAATAGAGCATAGAAGTCGTGTATAAGTCAATGACCAGTTCAAACAATAGATTACTAGTCAGATAAGAAAAGGACATGAAGACAGGAATGCCTACCACTTTTTATTCTGTCTACAAGATCTTTTCCACCGACGCAAGCAGCCCCAGCTTCTCTAGCTTCCTCTGCAGCATCTCCTTCAGCAAAGACAGCAATTTGGAATTTCTGTGGTTGAGAGCCACTTATCAGTTAAAGGAAAAACAAAACCAACTGCACAATCATTTCATGGACATGCGAAGACGGGTTTTACCTTTCCACAACCATGCGGGAGCAGAACTGACCCAGTAAGATTCTGTATGCAATAAACAGAAAAGAAGAATAAGTTAAATGCACAAATTTACAGAGGAAACTTCTTTCAGGTACAATAAAAGTAGGAAAGAATGCCACACACCAAATGGCTCTTCCGCAGTTCAGGTGTCAATTTGACATGTGCTTCAACAGTTTCTTCAAAATTACATTTTGCATTAGCCTGTAAAACGACTAGAAAGACATGGAGTCAAAATAGAAGAACTAACTTTCAGAAAAAGTATAAATCACTTGAAGCATTAGAGACACAGGTAAGCAGTAGACATATGATTAATGAACAATTTTTGAGAAATATGGTCATATTTACTGTTTTTAATACATATGCATTTGCAGAAGCCAACTTCAACTTGATCCTGTGTTTTATTTCTAAAGTTGTCCTCAAACAAAAGGTAACTAAAATTTGCTCCAACATCCTTAAGCATTTACATGTTATATACTTTGGAGCAGTGCAAAAAGAAAGAGAAGGTAACTTTAAAATCAGTTTCATAAACATATTGCAAGCAAAAGAACGAGCTCAACTATTTTACTTCACTAAGCAAGGGCATATGCAACCTAGATTGGTTTTCCCGAATGCAAAACAAAATTCTTCCATTCAAGTTCAGGAATGAGCCATCAACTTTGTAAATTAAAACTCAAGCAAAGACTGAAAAATCCGACCTTCACAAAGCGAATGGCTTCCTTAAGATCATACATAATCTTCTCTTTCTTTTTCGCCTGCTCCGACCTAATCAGAGTTGGAAATGGAACTTTTTCCCCCTCAACACTGAAGTTCCTCCTCATCATCATGCTCTGGTTCTCTGCATCAATTCTCCTCCTTTCTCTTTCCAATTCATCATTTCTTCCTTGTTCTACATTTCTCCCATCGCCCTCCTGACCTTCCTCAGTTGCCACGCGGTCCTCCGGCAAAGGGGCAACACGGGTTGGGTATGATATCGGAGAGACATTTGGAACATCCTTAACATACCGGAAATCCTCCCGAGTCCATGCCCGAATATTTTCGGGTCTAACATCATTACCCGGTCGATTAACTGTTTCAGGAGGATGCAATGGTTGTGATTGGGCAGCTGGGCCTTGCGCTTGGGATTCAGCATTGGCTGGTGGCGGATTCTCGGGTTTCTTAATTGCATACGAGACGGGTTGAATAGATATGGGCGTTCTTCGGTTCGAATTCAGATCGTTCGCCTCCGGGGGAGGCGATGTGGTCTCCGGCGGAGATGAAGAAAAGGGTCGGAGATAGAGGAGGAAAGATAACTCCGGTCGAGTGGTTTTGGTGGAGCAATATTGCGAGTAGAGGTGGGCTCGATTCAGAAGGTGTTTGAAAGCTGACATTCTTAGACCTCAGAGCTCCAAGAAGAGAAGCAGAACAATGGAGTATGGAGAATGGGGGTTTTAGAAGAGAGGTTCACGCCGGTTTCTGAAAGCAAGGGTTTTTGTTCAAGTACATATTTACCCTGTTCTTTTGTGTTTTTACCTTTTTTTTTCCCTTGACATTTCTCATTTGTTTAGGATTTCCTCAAGCAAAATGACAATTTCTTACTTTCTCCTTTCCATAATTATTGTCCAATTTGAATGTTCATTTCTAGTTCAAATTGTATTAAAAGTGAAATCTCAAATTAGACAATAATTTTGGGACAGAGGAAGTATTAAATTTAGATATCATCATTTACATTACATTTCATCATATAACACATGGTTTGAAATGTAACATTCTAAAATTATTGATAGTAAAGTAATCAATAAAAAGATAACAGCCTTGTATAAGAAACTTTTTCGGACCAGAGAAAATAACATATGATTTCACATTTACCATTCCATGGTTCCTATCCGAAAATTCAAGATTATAAAATTGATGAACTTATCTTTAAACAGAATTTTTACTTTGAAATAGAGAGGATAGGATGATGTTAGTGACCTACATAGTAGACTTATAATGCATATTAATGTAATAATATAAGTACTTCCGATTAATATGGGTATCAATTTATTAGGGGGGGAGGGGAAGAAAATACAAGGAGAACAAGATGCTTTATTTGAGCTTGAGAGGCTAAGTAAAATGTTGAATAAATAATGAGAAGGAATGAAGCATTTAGTATTTACAACATACTGTGAAAGGGACCAAAATAATGAGCAGTAACTATAGGCTATAGCACTAGAAAGGAGGGGTCGAAAAAACTTCTACGACAACATTTCTGAACTGAGTACGTCTTCTTCCGAGTTTTTCAGGGTAGAAGATGACAAAGGGTAGGTTCAAAAAAAACTGGAATCCCCCAGAAGAAGATCAAACATGTTATCAGGGGTAAGAAGTGTTGTTCCACCAAGAATCAGTTCCACATCCGGCCTGCTACTTTGTGACAGTGCCTCGTGAGCTTCCCGTACCTTGCACATATAAGAAAAAATGGATGCCAAAAAAGTGAACAACTTTATTACAGTATTAAAACATGGTAAAAACTATTTGTTCTGGTGAATTTATATCCTGTTATGCAATAACCACGAAAGTGTCATGTAAATACATTGCATTTAGAGTTTCAAGCGAGCCTCTTGGACGGTATGTCGAATGGAAGTAAAAGAACAAACAGTTCAGTTTTGCTCACCTCAACACCGTTGATGCCACCTATAACAAAAACAAGAATAACATCTTGGTCGGCAAGACTTGGTTTTGCCTGCATGAAAAGAAAAGATATTTCCCTGATCAGACATCAATATTTGTATGACATCTCTTTAATGTAATAGGAGGTTTAGAAAAATAAAAAATAAAAAGATCCATGTATCAGTTTTACTGGTTACCTGTCCTAGACCAAACCTTCCAAATCCACTCTTGAAAAGACGTCCAACAGTGGAAGAGTGGTACTCCAAGCCAGGGACATCATACTTAGCCAACACCCGAGTTAAAGTTTTGTAAATCAATCCCTTGTTTAAGTAAGGGTCATCATTAAATTTTGTTTCAGCGGGGATATCATTTTTCAAGCTTGATAACTTGTGAAGGAATTTGAATAGACTCTCAACCCGATCTCGCAATTCTAACTTCAACTGCATGTCTCCATATGCTTGCTCCTTCGTTTCATCAGTATCCTCATCACCCCAACTTTCCCACTGATCATCATCAAAATCAGCTGTTTCCAGTTGACTGGAAGAATCTTCCTTCTTTTCTTCTGAATTTCTCTTCGAAAAGTTGGCTTCAAGCTCTTCTGTCAAACCTCGGAGAAACTTAAGCTTTGCAACTGTTGGGTTCTCAATTATTGCATCTACTATGGCTTCTTGCATGAAGTGTTCCTCCTGCCAGGAGAAAGGACCTAAAGAACCAGAAGTTGGGAAATTCTCACCGGCCAGTATGTAGCCAATTACTGTAAGAAGAAGGGCGTCTTGAAGACTAAGCAAGCCCTCGGAGGATGCTTTGCTTTTTTTTACGTCTTGAAAACCCACTAAAGCACTCTTATTAATAAGATCACTGATTTGAGCAGCAAGACTTTGGCTGGTGTCCCCAGCATTAACATTCAATATCATCTCAGCACTGCTAAATGCTTCCCATCTTGCAGAATGTAATTCATCTAAAGCATTTGAGGCAGCAGCAGCTAATTGAATGATCCCTTTGTTCCTCAGCAAAGATGATTGGCTTTTTGACAGAGCCTTAACCATTGATAACAGCTCAGACTTTGAAACACTTCCAGGACGAAGTTTCATATTCAAAGGTATCTTTTCTTTCCGTAAACACTCTTGAAGCCACTTCTTAATTAAAACGGAACCATCTTTTGTTCTCCTTTCCAATATGGCTTCCAGGTACTTGGTTCCATGAAAGTTATCGGTAGAAACTAATGACCCTATTATTCTCTCACTCTTGGAGTATTGGCCGGTTTCACCATAAAGCTTCTGACTGAGGTTAGTCAAATCAACAATTTGCGAAGCAGAGTTACCAGAATCCCACCCGTTCAAAAATGCCTCAATGCTTTCTAGAAGTAAAAAAATATTTTCTGAACTTTCTTCCCGGAGAATTTCATCAAGTGGTATCTGAACATCGAGAGAAGGGCGCAATACACTGCCTTTGACTTGCCTCTGAAATCCTTTCACATGGCTTACTGAAGTTGTCAATTCCTTGCGAGGCAAAAATGAAAACATTCGATCAACAAGCGAATCACCATGACAGCAAGGAGTAAGAAGATCAAGTGTTCGGTCAATGAGAAGTAGGCCAGCCGACCTTTTACGCCGCCCAACATCATAAAGACTTGACATATCCATCAAGAGCCTTCCAACTGTTTTTGAGAGATCACCAAGAGAAAAGATTTCCAGTTTCAGATCCATCTGCATGTTTACAGAGAAGATTAAAACACGCAAGTAGTAATGCACTCTGCTGTATCTACAGTAAAAAAGAAAATGACAAAGGAAGTTGAAGGGTTGCAAATAATTTTAGACTGCCAAAGTGATTTTCTATCATAAGGTCCTAATTTAATTAGTTGCCAATGATATATGTAAAAGAATGAATACCTTAGTGGCCAGATGATAAAGAAGCTGAGCAGTTAGAGTTGCCCCAGGAGGAACATCATCGCTGTCAGCAGGTGTTCCAATGCTTATTGATGGTAGCCCTGGACTGATTGAATTTTCATGCTCAACTGATAAATGTGCTTCCGCGACAGATCCTTCTGAAGGTAGAACAAAAACTCTAGGTGATAAAGGACATAACAAAAGGGGGAAATGATGGACATTAACAACTAGCTTTTGGCCACCGTCTGATGGAGTTCCAGGGAAACCATCTATATCTGAAACCATGGTAATTGAACTTGTTTGAAGATCGTAAGTGTTGTCCCCACTGGAAGCTAGCTGAGACCATCCCTCATCCTCAGGAACTGAAGTTTCCTTCAACTTTTTTCCATCTGGCTCAGATGAGTTCAATTGATTTTTCTTTATCAGTTCCTCGTAATCCAGGACCAGTAAAGATTCATATTCACGGAAAGCATCTGGTCCCAGAGGTGAATCAGGGTATGCTGAGTGTCCCATCTGCATTTTGCAAATGAGGGACCAAATTACACAAAAAGTAAAAGTAAATAAAAAAGTCACGAGAAGATGGTATCAGAAGTGTTTGAGTTCTGAATTTTGAAAATGTCTCCCGAGATCCATAATTCCATGAAATTAAAGTGGAAGAGAATGCATCCAACCCTTATGTGTTAAACATAAATTTTTTGAAACAGAACTGAATCCATTTAAATTTCTACCCATTCGGAAGGGGGGAACGCTTGTCTAAGTCAAGCTTTCTAAAAGGAAGTATACGCCAGGAAAAAAAAATGATAAGATGATGGCAAAATTTGCAAAGTAACTGAAAGCAATGAAGCAAATATAAATATTAGATATAACCTCTGATATGGATGTACAAATAGTGCAGTGTCGAATTCTTTGAAGCGTGCTCAAACATCGTAAAACATAACGATGTGCATCACTAAGAAGACGAGAGGTGATGACCACAACTTTCTCTCCAGGTTCAGGATTTGATTGCCAATGAACAACCTAGAGAGTCATTCGTACAGGATGTCAATACCAAAAATGAGAAATAAAAACTAACACAAATATTGATCACAAAAAAGTATCAAGACAGATAAGAAAGATAGAGTACCGATCATGACTCTTGCAGAACCATGCATATAATATAATACCTTAACCAAGAAACGAGGCTCCATCAGTTAGTAATTATTACTGGGTAGAACCGACTCTTTCATGCTTTTAACACGAAGTAGAAACATTATTTAACTAGGATAGAAAGAAAAATTCAGTGCCGGTAGCGGAGTTGAGCAATTCTGAGATCAACTTCCATAAACAGTGCCTGATGTCTATTAACAACAACTTCAAAAAGTGATTTAGATTATTAATTTGGTCCCAAATAGGTCTTCAACTCCAACAACACTGAGACAATCTCAATAGAAACAAATACATAGGAAAGTTGGATAACACACTAGGATGCTGCCAACAACATAGACAATCTCATCAGGAACTAATACATAGGAAAGTTAGATAACCCGCTAGGATGCTGGCAAGGCATAGACACAAGGAAAATGTCTTCAGAAAATGAACTGATTTCTTCATGCCAATAAGTGCAAGTATAGAAAGATTTGGTCAATAAATACAAAAATTTTAGAACTGGCAAACAAGAACAGAAGCAAATTGGATCCTTCTTACCTCGTCAAGAGCCGATGCATTTTCCAAGCTGCAAACCGCACGAGCACCAAGCTCCAACAACAGAGGAAATGCATCAAGAAACTGAAAACTCTCTGTAGATCCAGCATCCAAGTAGATAACAGCATCTTTTATGTCATCGGAAATCTAAAATTACAGAACAAACCTCTCAAAAATTTCGCATCCGCATCAGGCTGCAAAAAGCTACCACTATGCAGCAAACTTATTAGTATTATTACTCAACAACGAACTGGAACTGCACAGACATTTCTTGTCAATGCAATTCATTTCCCCAAAAAACTAAAGCTGCATTCAAGTACCTCAATTTTTATTTTATTTTTTCGGTTCCAGTTTCCTTGATTCTGTTGTATTAATCAAAACCATTTCCAGAAATTATTGAGATGCAGAATCATACTTCCATTCATTGCAATCCAATCTTTATATTTAATTATCGAGTTCCAAATTTCATCTTCGATCATGCAATCAAGCGGGTTTCAATTTACTAAAATAGAATCATCCCACTAATCCCTGTAATAGTTATCGCAATTCGCTATGATCATATATATAACACGTAAATAGTAAGCTCAAAATCACAAAGAAAACCAAAGATCAAACAAGAGAGGGAATTTACTTGTCGAATGGAATCGAAGCAACATCTGATGACATCCATGGCGGTACCAATCGGAGAAACGCCAATTTGATTGGCATATCAGTTCAATACATCACTTAGGGCTGGAAGATGAACGCATCTGAGCTTGTTACGACGTCGTCTTAAAAGCTCTGTTTTTTCGGCTATTGCCAATTTTCCCCCGAGGTTTAATATATTGCCAAGCAGAACCTCATAAATTTGAAAATGTTAATAGGAAAGTACTAAAATGCCCTGTTTGTCCATTACTGCCCTGTTATGGTGAAAATGTCTTTCATCTCTTATAGCATTTCCCCTACCGAGAATATAAAGGGTCGAGAAACTCAGCGCTACTAGTCTTGAACAACTTGGAGTCGGGCCTTCTTTTCGCACTATTATGGATAGGATATGAAAATAATGGTCAAAATCCGATTCAATTGTTAACTGCCCCTATCGGAAATAGGATTGACTATCGATTCCGAAGGAACTGGAGTGACATATCTTTTCCATTTCCATTCAAGAGTTCTTGTGTGTTTCCACGCCCCTTTGAGGCCCCAAAAAATGGACCAATTCCTTTTCTTATTCTTAAGAACACATACAAAAAAAGCTCTCACCCTAAAAAATATAACTCTCACCTCTCACTAAAAAGGTCACCGGAAACCCTCCCCCAACCACCGTACCGGTAGTTGGGGGAGCCAAAAATTTACTTTATTTTCATTTTCTTTTTTTCGTTTAATAGATCCAGAACAAAATCTTCACAGATCCGGCACTCCATCAACATCGGCCTTCCATCAGACCAACCAGATCAGCCCAGATTGTCGTCCTTAATGATGACCTACACCAGAAGGACCGCGAGACCACCTGACTGTCCTGGCAATTGCAGATCGAACACATTTATGCTTTGATCTGAGTTCCGGCTTTGCTTGCTCCATAGCGGAGTTTTGGTCCAGAAGGGGATGCCGCTGCAATCTGGGCTGACACTCCTGGTCAGACACAACCATCACATGTGTCGACTGCCATCAGATGTGTTGACATCTGCAGATCCGAAGGTGTATATCTTCATAACTGAAAGCCGATCCGACGGTGTGTAGCCGGCCGCTGCTGCTGCTGCTGGACAATCGCTTGTTGCTGCTGCTCTGCTGTCTTCCGCCTCTGCCGCTGCTCTGCTCTAGCTCAAGAGGAAGCTGCCGCTTCTCCTTCTCCCTGCTGTCAGAGACAAAGGCTAGTCAACGACGATGCTTTTGACGGCTCTGCTTCACTAAGAAGAAGCCCGCCGAGAAGAAGCTAGCAGTAGAGAAGAAGGCCGCCGCCGTGGAGAAAGGCCCCGCTGAGAAAAAAACCAAAGGCCGGGACACTAGATCTGATCCTTCCGACCAGATCTGGTTTCTTCCGGTTTAAATTCTCCGACACTGGTTCAGCTGATACCGGCTCAACTCTCACCGGTTCATCTGAATCAGTTTTAAGCCATAGATCGGTTAAACCGGTTAAGCCATAGATAGGCACACCGGTCTGGGTTACAAACAAACCAAATTAGTTTATACGGTTATTTCATATGTTTTGTTCAGGTTTAGATTCGTATTATTATATCTTAGTGACTCCTTTTGAAATTAAATTTTCCTGTATATCACTCACAGATTTGGATTGTCCATATGCCCACTAAACGCGGCAGTTCAGATCTGTGATCCGAAAGAAGCGAATCACGATGACAGGAGTTTATCCTTCTTGAATTACTAGGTAAATAATTTTGATGAGTCCAGAACTGACATTAGACGTAATTTAGTATAGTCCGATTAGGTCTCTTTTGAAAGTATTAGTATTTTTACTGATATTTAAATCTCCGTCTTTAGGACGGTCTCTTGTTAAAGGTAAGTCTTAAGCACTGCTCTCAAAATATTTCTAGTATCTATAAAATTTCCAGGTACTCGCTTGGTTTAATTAAAAAAAAAAATCTTAAGAACACATACAAGATTCGTCATTCCAAAAAGGATAATGGTAATCCCACTAGTAATTACTTCATTTATGAATTTCATAGTAATAGAAAGACATGTCCTATCGAGACAGAATTTGTAACTTGCTACCGTCTTTCCTCGGAGGCAAAGATTTACCTCTGTCTCCGTGGAAAGGATGATTCATTCAGATCGACAGGAGAGTCGAACTATATTGGATTGCCAGGATCCATGTTCTATATTTGAAAGAGGTTGACTTCCTTGCTTCTCTCATGGCACACCCCTCTTCCCGCTGAGCCTCCGGTCCCCAGAGACAAAATGTAGGATGGGTATCAACTGTTCATCACAGAAGAGGGACTCACTAAACTGGGACCACTAACTAATACTAATATAATAGAATAGAAATAGAAAAGGGCTGTCTTTTCTGTATACTTTCCCCGGTTCTGTTGCTACCGCGGTCTTTACACAATCGATCGTCGGATTAGATAGATATCCCTTCAACACAACATAGGTCATTGAAAGGATCTCGGAGACCCACCAAAGTACGAAAGCATGCTCTTTCAGAAAACGGATTCTTATTCGAAGAGTACATAACCGCATGGGTAAGCTCACAACCCGTCACTTTGGGATCCAATTCGAGATTTTCCTTGGGAGGTATTGGGAAGGAATCGGAATGGACTAATATTGATTCATACAGAAGAAAAGGTTCTCTATAGATTCAAACATTGTACTATTACTCTGGGATAGCGGAAGAGGAAAAACCGAAGATTTTACATAGTACTTTTGATCGAAAAATCAATCTGATTTATTTCGTACCCTTTGTTCAATGAGAAATGGTTTAAGTTCTATAGGATCAAACCTATGGGACTTAAAGAATAATATAAAAAAAAAAGAGGAAAAATAGTAAATAAAAATGAACTAGAATAACCTAGATTTCAAATAAACAAATTCAAATTTGAAAAGGACCTTTTGGATTCTCGAAGAATGGGGGTCAAAGATCTCTTGTTCTTATCATAGTGATTGATCCGTGTATGCTTATTAAAGAGAATAATCTTCTTCTTTGAGAATAATCAAAAAAGGAAAGTGTTCAATTAGAACAGGAAAATATGACTAATTCGGTCCTAGATACTCTTCGGGACGGGATGGAAGAAGGGAGGGGATTCTCGAACGCGGAAAAGGATCCAATGAATTCGAAAGAATTGAACAAGAAGCCGTTTGAGGTGAAAATCTCACGTACGGTTCTATAGAGTGACAGTAAAGGTGGCTTATAGTCAACTTTTCCACTATCGCCCCCAAAAAACCAAACTCTGCCTTACGTAAAGTTGGTAGAGTACGATTACCCTCTGGATTTGAAATCACTGCTTATATACCCGGTATTGATCACAATTTACAAGAACATTCTGTAGTCTTAGTAAGAGGGGTAAGGGTTAAGGATTTACCCGGCATAAGATATCACATTGTTCGAGGAACTCTAGATGCTATCGGAGTAAAAGATCGTCAACAAGGACGTTCTAGTGCGTTGTAGATTCTTATCCAAGACTTGTATCATTTGATGATGCCATGTGAATCACTAGAAACATGTGAAGTGTGTGGCTAACCCAATAACGAAAGTTTCGTAAGGGGACTGGAGCAGGCTACTATGAAACAAAAAATCTTCTTTCTAAAGAGATTCGATTCGGAATTCTTATATGTCCAAGGTTCAATATTGAAATAATTTCAGAGGTTTTCCTTGACTTTGTTCGTATCAACAAACAATTCGAAATATCTCGACTTTTTTAGAACAGGTCCGAGTTAAATAGCAATGATTCGAAGCACTTCTTTTACACTATTTCAGAAATTTAAAGACTTAATCGTATTGATATGGAAAATACAAGATTTCCAATCCTAGCAGGAAAGGGATACTCAATTTTAAGTGAGTAAACAAAATTTCATACTCGATCTCATAGATACATATAGAATTCTGTAGAAAGCCGTATTCGATGAAAGTCGTATGTACGGTTTGGAGGGAGATCTTTCATATTTTTTGAGATCCACCCTATAATATGGGGCAAAAAAACAAAATAAGTGATTTTAGCCCTTATAAAAGGAAAATGGATTCTCGAACCCCTTCACGCCCATGTCACGTTGAGGTGCTGCAGAAGAAAAAAACAACCAAATTCGATCCAATTTATCATAATCAATTAGTTGACATGTTGGTTAACCGTATTCTGAAATACGGAAAAAAATCATTGGCTTATCAAATTATCTATCGAGCCGTGAAAAAGATTCAACAAAAGATAGAAACAAATTCACTATCTGTTTTACGTCAAGCAAGGAGTAACTCCCGATATAACAGTAAAAGCAAGACATGTAGGCGGATCGACTCACCAAGTTCCCATTCAAGAATGCAATGACATTATGTTTTTGAAGGTAACTTCTACGATGGAATTTGTCAGAAGCATCTATAAAAGTTCATACCAAGAGATTCATATTTTTCAAAAGAATTATTACATTCATCCATACTGGGTACCAAGCGTCCAAACCACTGTCAACATGAGATATTCACATCGTCATTTAGCTCACTCCAGTTCTCAAACGGCAAAGACAATGCTTCAAATCGAAGAACTCCATTAAACTCTTCTAGGACGTGCCTTATTATATGCCCACAACCACAAAGAAATCATGAACACTGTCAGCAAGCCAAAAGAACAAACATGGATGAAGGTGCATCATTTAAACAATGCGTTAATGCACTAAATCAATATTACAGCCCCAAAATAGGAACTCCTCTGACTGGGATAATGAGAAGATAGATGAAAAGTACAAAATTTGCAGATATAATCCGCATGTACTGGAGTTTCCAGCAGTACTTGAAGGATCATCCATTGTATCCCAAAACTGGTAGATATATCCCAAAGCATCATTTTGCTTCTGTACCTGCATAATGTTCCAAAATTATTTGATCATTTGGTCTTAAATATTCTGAAAAGGAAAAAAAACAAAAAGAAAAAGACAAGAAACATAGCAGAACAATTCCCAAGTTTTCCAGATAAAATACCTTTGAATGAGATTCAGAACTGCTGTAAGAGAATCCTCAGATGACCATGTTCAAGCAATTGTCAAACTTTAAATGAGCAATGAGATCAATGAATCATCCGGTATTCAAGAAAAAAGAGCCCCGTGAATTCACACATATAACAACCTCCATCATCTGTGCGCTCCCCAATTTATA